ATATCTTTCTTTTTCATGATATAGTTATTACATACTTCCCTTTCAGACTGCTTTTGGCACATCTTATAAGTTTTGATTTGTTGTGTTTCCATTTAGTTTGTCTCAAGATTCTTTATTTCTTTTTAGTTTTTTTTTTTGTACCAGAAGTTGTTTAATTTTGTTCAGAAATACTTTATTTTGATACGAATGTGAATTTTCCAATTTTTCTCCTGTTATTTATTTTTAGTTTTATACCATTGTGGTCAGAAAAGATAGTTGCTGTAATTAGAGCCTTCTTATATTTGTTAAGACTTGTTTTGTGGCCTAACATACTATCTACCCTGGAAAATTTTCTATATGTGCTTGAAAACAGTGTGCATTCTGCTGCTTTTAAATATAATAAAATATTCTGTGTATGTCTATCAGGTAAATGTAGTACATAATGTTGTCTTAAGTCTACTGTTTTTTATGTTTCCTGTCTTGATGATCATTGATGATAACTGTTGAAAGCAGTGGTATTGTGCTCCCTATTATTGTATTGTTATCTATATTTCCCTTTAGTTCTGTTAATATTTGTTTTACATATTTAGGTGTTCCAATGTTGGGTGCAGAGACATTTACAATTACTATATCCTCTTCATGAATTGACCACTTTATCATTATGTAATGACCTTTTTGGTCTTATAGAACAGTTTTTAACCTAGTCTATTTTTTCTGCTATAAATATAGCCACTCCTGCTCTCTTTTGATTACCATTTGCATAGAATATCCTTTTCCACCCCTTCATTTTCAACGCATGTGTATCCTAAAAGCAAAACCCTGGAGCAGAAACCACCACTACAGCCAGTACCAGGGTAGGAAAACTAAACTGTCATTGATGAGTTGCTAGAGGACAATCTCAGAGTTAAAGTTGCTATGGACAAACTTGAGAGGTAAAAACTCAAGAGAAGTCCACTCTTGGGGGATGGGAACTCATATTTTTATGAGTTTTACCTCCAGGGGCTCTGCTAGGTTCTGCAGCTATAGCCACACTACAAACATAGCCTAACCCCTAACCCAGATAACCATAAAACCTCACACAAAGGCCTACTGACCTCAGTTCTTTTTACCTACTACATAATGTCTGACTTTTAACAACAACAAAAAGAAAATTATGTGGCACATGAAAAGAGAAAGAAAATATAGTTCAAAAAGACAGTTAAAGTATCAGAACTAGACTCAGGTATGGCAGGGAAGTTGGAATTATCAGACCAGGAATTTAAACAACTATGATTAAAATGTGATGGCTGTAATGGTAAAGCAGCCACCATCCAAGAACAGATGACTAATGTAATCAGAAATATGGAAACTCCAAGAATCAAAAATAAATCTAGGAATTAAAAACACTGTAACAAAGATGAAGTATGTCTTTGTCAGCCTTATCGATAGAGTGAACATGGCCAAGAACAGAACCAGTGAATTGCAGGAAATGATAAAAGAAGCTTCCAGAACTAAATGCAAAGGGAACAACTGAAAAAGAACAAAATATCCAAAAACTGTTAAAGGGGCAACACCCATACAGAGAACAAAGAGAATATATGAAGTAGTAATGACGGGGAATTTTCCAAAACTAAAAATAGACACAAAACCACAGATCCAGAAAGTTCAGAGAACACCAAGCAAAATAAATACCAAAAAAATCTGCTATGTAGGGGTATCATTTGCAAATGGCAGAAAACTAAAGACAGAGAAAATCTTGAAAAGAAGTCAGAGGACAAAAGGACAACAAACACCTGTGGATCAACAAGGATAAGAATTACATCAGACATCTCAGAAAACATGCAAGTGAGAAAAGACTGAAGTAAAATACTGAAAATGTTTAAAGAAAAAACCCCCCACCAACCTAGAATTCTGTATCTAGTGAACTCATTATATATAAATGAAGGCAAAATAAAGATTTTCTCAAACAAAAAGTGAGGGAATTTGTCACCAGTAGACCTGCCTTGCAAGAAATGTTAAAATATGTTTTTAGCAAGAAGAAAAATAACGTGGAAGGTCACTAGAAAATGAATAAAAATTAAATTACTAATTGCAGGTGATGTGTTGAAACACTATTGATTTTTGTATGTTGAGCTTGAATCCAGCTGCTGATAACCCAAACTCAGTTAATAATTCTAAATGTGTTGTCTTCAGATTCTTTTGGGTTTTTAAAATAATGTAAAAAATATTTTACACTAGGTAGATGGGCAGTGGGTCCAGTGGGTCCTTGAACTCATCTTAACAATATTTCCCAGTTCCAGATGCATAATCTGGAATAAACTGATAGACCCATTATGTTGCCTCCAAATAAGTTCTATGTTTGATAGCACAATAAGGTGGCTGTAGTTAACGACAATTTATTGTATATTTCAAAATAGCTAGAAGAAAAGATTTGAAATGTTCCCAACACAAATAAATGATAAATGCTTGAGGTGATGGATAGCCCTGTTATCCAGATTCAATCATTCTATATTGTATGCTTGTACCAAACTATCACATGAACTTCATAAATATGTACAGCTGTTATATATTCATAAAATTTAAAAACAAAAAACAAGGAAGAGGATGAGAAGGATAATATACTTCCCAATGCAAAACAGATGTTACAGTCAAATTTTGTAATTTGAGACTTAGTAAATGGGTTATATAAAAGCTATGGGCAGTGTTTATAGGGAAACCACAAGGAATAGGGCAGTACCACAGGGTGGCGATGCCATAATCAACATGGCATTAGAGGTCCATGATCACATGCAAATTGGAAGGGCAAGGAAGGAGTGGTTATCAAAACCTAGGTAAGAGAGATCTGTGCAAAGGCAGCTGTAATGGATGCAGTCAGCTGGGGCACAGCACAGGGAAGGAAATAGGGGAATAAACTCTATTCTCATTCCCCTTCCTCCCTTTGGTCTCATTTCAATGAGATTTACCCAAGCAGAATCCAGTGGGCAACAGAACCTTTGATGCAGCCCATGGGGGCGCCGACAAGGCTGAGCACATGGAGAGTTGGTGGGGAAATGCCACATGCACAATTCACCTCACTTGCCTTTTGACTCTGAACTCATGGTAACCCAATTATCTGATGAGCATGTGTTCCTTTACAGCTAATGAATTCAGAAGAAATGATAGAATACTTGCTTTCTGAAACCCCTAATGAAATAATGGATGCAGGCAATGGTCATCATTGGCAGCTAAAACTATTATTTGACAGGAAATTTTATAATGGATAGATCATCCTGATAACATCTGAACACACAGATCAATATTAACATCAAAAAAATGAGACAGACAATAGGCACCTCCTGATGCAATATAATAGCAAGTAATCACACTACACATACAGCATTCCTACCCAAAATATTGAGCCTGAGTCTAATCAAGACCATACTTTACTACCAGGTTATAGGAAATAAAAAGGACAGAGGAATGTGTTAAACACTCCAGGGCTGCAATCAGCAATATCTAGACTGTGGGATATTCCATAGGGCAAAGAACCCAGTTTCATTAATAGATACCTTTTAAGATATAAAAATAGGGAAGGGGACACCTTCAGATAGATTTGAGACATAACCAAACTATGTCTGAACCTTTTGTGAATCCCAGTTCCAACAAACCAGCTGTAAAAAAATTTTTGATGTGAATCAAGCTGTTTGAATGTTGACTGGATAACTTGGTTATAATAAATAATTATTGTTGACTTTCAGGTATAAGTAACAGTAGTATTATGGTTATGTTTTTTTAAAAAAGAATGTGTTTTAGAGATGAATACCATAGGATTTGTGTATGATGTCTAATAATTGACCAAAAATAACTCAGTGGGGAGTGTGGAGCAGGTGAAGAAATGAATGAAACAAGATGGACCACATGTAGGTAATTTTGAAGCTAGGTTATTAGTACACACAAGTTTGTTATACTAGTCTCTCTACTGTGTATATTTTATTTTTTCCATAACAAAATATGTAGGAAAAAATTGCACGCAGAGGATATGAACTGTCTGTTACATAATCTCACGAGCCATAATCAGCATTCAGGGACAGAGGGAAAGCGAAAGTCCCTGGGAGTTGGAAATGTCTACTCTGGAAGAACTGTGCTCATCACAGGTTCCCAGTCCCTGAAAAGCTGTTCGCATCTCAGAGGTCCCTCAAGGGAACAGAGAATCTCCAGTGACAGACTGAGACTGAGTGGGATTAAGCTTCTCCGTAAAAACCGAGAGGTCATAGTTAGGGGAGTAAATATGAAAATGCCCATTCAGTCACTGGATTTGGCAATAGGATAGGAAGCAGAGCAGGAAGTATATTACTTCAATTGTGAAGTAAATGTATTAGTCATTGGTACAGAAAAGGCATTTGGGAAGGTGATCAAATGCATATGCTTTATAAAGTCATGTGCTCAGAAAACTGTAAAGAGTAGATATTTTCCTCATTTTGACACGATTTTATAACAATATAAACAGCTGAAAGGAATAAGCTCATCTATGTGCATGCACCTAAGAGAGAGAATGCTGAGTTTATTTTTTTTTAAGTCAACACATTTTTATTCAAGGAATTCCATGTTATAATTTCTTCCACTGCCCATCAAGGTCAATTTAGATCCTCTAAACAGGCAGAGTCAAAATGTATCTTCAAAAACTACCTTCAAGTTAGCCCTTTTAAATGAAACTGATGCTTATTTAAATCCAGTTGTCTTGTCAGCCCATAAGTCTTTTATTTTGGCTTCTGTCATCTCCTTTTAATATAGATATACTGAGAAAGACTTCAAAATTCACCAAGAATCTTTGGGATCTGATTTCTTCCTCCAATTTACTTTAGGGTACTTTTTAGTGTAGGTGGATCTGCCTGATTCTCAATTTCACACCCTCTCTAAATATGAATGAGTTCAAATCATATTCATTCCTAAGCAATCACACTCAAGAATAGTACACACGTGTGGAAGATGCAAATACCTAAAACAAAAAAGTAAATTATCAGGTCTTTCATACATCTAGTAGCTGTCTTTTTCATACTTTTAGCATCTGTCTTATAGTTCTTTCCCACAGATCTAACCATAGTCCTGTGAGTAAAGTAAAACCACAGAGTTACTCTATGAGGCGTTTCCAGTGATGTGCAGGATACAGGAAAAACCCTATTAGGACAGACCACAACAGAATGTTGAGTTTAAAAAGCAAGTTACCAAATGTCACTTATGTAAAATTTATGAATACACTAAAAAATGAACTGCATCAATATTTCTTTTTTTTTTGGTTTTAGGAATCTCTTACCCTCCTAAAATTATTGAAAATCCAAAGACATTTATTTCATTTCGGTTGTACTGAGAAAGGTGGGACCACTCAACCTGTTGGAATAACGAAGATTTCCCTGAATTTTTGTACCTGTGAGATAGAGGTAAGAATCTTTGTCTGAGAGGAGCACTTTGGAGAAGATAGATAGGATTTGTGACAAAATCATGAGGGAGACATTATGACATTTTTTTCAAACATGTTGAAAACCAAACCACTAGCTTCCAAACTCTAAGGCCATGAATGACAGATGAGGTTGCTCAGAGGTTTTTCTGGTTAAGCAGAGTAGTAGGAGCTCTGCTTCTTGTTAGGGTGTAAAATGTTGCAAAAAACTGTTGCTTGCAATATAATAATGAGGAAAACTGAATTTCGTTCCAATCATCACAGGTGACAACCAGCAGAGACCTGAAAATGCAGAGAAGTCTAAACGCACCACATTCTAGGGCTCTCCCTGTCCAAGGCAATAAAACCTGCAACTGCTTTTATCTCTGGGGTGTGGTGGGAAGAACGAGTCAGCCATAGCAGGGAGGACTTGGCTCTTGGCTGAGATAAGAAAAAAACCAAAGAAATCATGGAGGGACCCTGTAGGCCAGTGTGATGGATTCAAACCCAGAAGCGCCCCCAAAGTACACTCATCTACGTGCCCCATAAATCGTTTCCTTCAGGCTTATCATCTCAAATACAGAGTGATGGCTGGACACTTGGGACAGGGTAAAATGGCAGAGAGAGAGGTCCTGTGAGTAGGAAGCTGGGGGAGCCTGCAACATGGAGTTCTTCCAAGGCACAAGAAGCCAGAAAATGAGCGAGAAAGCTTAGGGAGACCTCAGAGTCTTAGGTCCCAATTCCTAATGAAAGGAGACCCCTGACTGCTACCTTTGAAATATATGAAACCCGTGGTAAACTGAAATTAATTAGATCTACAGCCCAGACCAGAACCAGCTCAACTCCAGATTGAGGGGAAAATAGAATTACATTGTTGTAAGTTTCTTATACTTTTTTATGAAGTTTCACAATACTATTCACAGATAGACTGTGGTAAGTTAAAAATCCATGACCTAGAGAGACAACAGACAAAAATCACCAAGTACTTTGAAATTGAATAATACACCTTTAAATAGTCTATGGTCAAGAAGGAGATCCAAAGGAAATTTCAAAAAATACACATGAAATTAAATAAAAATAAAAAGACAATAGATCAAAATACATGAGAAGTAGCTAATGAAGAGCTGAGGGGGTGGAATCTTATAGTCCTAAATGCTTATGTTAGGAAAGAGGAAAAGACTCAAAACAGTAAGTTCTTCCCCTTAAAAAAAAACTAGAAAAAGAATAGCAAAACAAGCCCAAAGCAAGCAGGAGGAAGGAACTCATAAAGTGAGAGCACATATCAACCAAACTGAAACCAGAAAAATAATCCAAAAAATTAATAAAACCAAAAGCTGCTTCTTCAAAAATATCAGTGTCACTCTAGCAAGACTGGCAAAATTAAAACAGAAGAGACACAAATCAACAATATCAGTAATAAAACTAAGGATATCACTACATAGCCCATAGCCATTAAAATGGCACAAAGGGAATATTATAATCAACTTTACGCTCATACATTTGAAAACGTAGAAGAAATGGATCAATTGCTCAAAAACAAAGATTATCAAAATGCAACCAACATGAAATAGGTAATCAAGTAGTTCCAGTAAAGAAAACCATTAGAAAATGGAATTCATAATTTAAAAGCTCCTAAAAAAGATTTGCAGCTCCATATCATTTCCCTGGAGATTTCTACCAAATATTTAAAGAACTGACAGACATTTTACACAATTTCTTCTAGAAAATAGAAGAGAAAGAAATACTTTACAATTTATTTTATGAGGCTGACACCAAAACAAGGCAAAAACAGTACCAAAGAAAAACAGACATTTTTCAGAAAATTTGACACAAAAGCCATCAACAAAATATTAGCAAATTAAATACAAAAATATACAGAAACATTTTTTAAACAGTGATCAATTGTGATTTATTCCAGGAATGTAAGCCTGGTTTGCTATTTGCAATCAATTAATACAACTCACCATGCTAACAGGCTAAAGAAGGGAATGACACAAAAATGAATTTGACAAAATTTGGTACTGACACATGGTAGAAACTCCCAGAATTAGGAATACAGGAGAACTAAGTGATTTTGATAAAGAACACCTACAAAAACCTACAGCTGACATCATACTTAATGGTGATAATCTGAATGTTTTCTTTCTAAGATCAGGAGCAAGACAAGGATATCGGCTCTCAACACTTGTATTTAACATAGTACTGGAAGTTTTATCTACTGCAATAATGCAAGAAGAGAAAAGCAAAGACATGCAGAAGAGAAACGAAAAGATGAAGCTACCTCCAATTGCAGATGATATGATTGTCTTCATAGAATATTCCAAAGAATGTACAAAAATAAAGGTCTAGAACTAAAAGTCAGTTCAGCAAAGTAACAGAATACAATATCAACACAAAAATATTAATCATATTTCTATATACTAAAAATGAGCATGCAGAAACCAAAATTAAAAACACAATACCATTTACAATCACTCCAAAGAAAATGAAGTACTTAGATATAAACTCAACAAAAAGTGTACAGTATCTGAATGCTGAACATGAGAAAATACTAATGAAAGAAATCAGAGACCTAAATAAGTGGAGAGAGATACTATGTTCATTTAAAGACTCAATGTAGTAAGTATTATTTCTCTCCAAATTGATCTATAGATTTAATATAATTCCCTTCCAAATCCAAGCAGGATTTTGTAGATGTTGACAAGTTTATTCTAAAGATTATATGGACAAGCAGGGACAGTATAATAGATTTAAAAAATCATCTTGAAAAATAAGAATAAAGTGACAGAAAACACCGTACCCAATACTGAGACTTACTACATAGCTACAGTAATGGAGAAACCATAGTACTGGTAAAGAAGCAAACATGTAAATCAATGGAACAAAATAGTGAACTCAGAAACAGACCCACATAAATATCCCAAAGTGATTTTTGACATAGAGGCAAAAGCAACTCAATGGAAGAAGTAGATCCTTTGGAATAATTGGAATCTCAACCAAAACCTCATGCCTTTAAAAATAAATAAATAAATAAACTCAAAATGGATCACAGACTTAAATTTATAACTGTACAACTTTTAGAAAACAAAAAAGCAGAAGGAGATGTTTGGGATCTAGGGCCAGGAAAGACTTCTTAGGCACAAAAAGCACAATCCTTCAAAAGGCAAAAAATAAAAACTGGGCCTCATCAAAATTAAAAACTTTTACTCTGCCAAAGACCCTGTAAAATCCATGAAAATGCAAGACCCTGTAAAAACAATGAAAATGCAAGCTACACACTGTGAGAAAATATTTGCAAAACACATATGCAAAAAAGGATTACTATCTAGAATATGTAAAGAATTCTCAAAACACAACAGTAAAAAGAGCAAAAATCCAATTAGAAAAAAAGGCAAATATATGAATACACATTTCACTGTAAAGAATATACAGATGGCAAATGAGCATATAAAAATGTTTAGCATCATTGTTTATCACTGGAATGCAAATTAAAACCACAATGAGATATCACTGTATAGCTATCAGAATGGCCAAAACAAAAATGTGACAATATCAAATGCTGGCAAGCATGCAGAAAAACTGAATCAGTTACTCATTGAGGGAAGGACCGTAAACTAGTGCAGTCACTCTAGGAAAACATTTGGCAGCTTCTTTTACAATAACTATACAATTAGTATACGATCCAGCAGTTGCACTCTTGGGCATTTATTCCAGGGAAATGATAACTTAGGTTCGTATACAAATCTGTACACACACATTTTTAGCAACTTTATTCATAACAAGAAAAACAAAACCTTGGAAACAATGTCCTTCAACAGGTCAGTGGTTTTAAAACATGTGATCCATGCACACCATGGAATAATACTCAGCAATAAGAAGGAAGAAACTATTGGTACATGTGACAATTTAGATAAATCTCCAGAGAGTTACAGTGAGGAAAAAAGTTAATCCAAAAATGTTACATACCGTATGATTTCATTTATATAACATTATTGAGATTAAAAAAAAATTACTGAGACAGAGAACAGATTAGTGATTGTCAGGATTAGGAATGGGATCAGTGTGGGAGGGAAGTGAGTATTGTAACAAAAGGGCAAAGTGAGAGATCCATGTCATGGCACTCTTCTGTATCTTGGCTGAAGCGGTGGCTATATAAACCCACACATGTAATAGAATTGCATAGAGCTAAATACACACACTTGAACTCACCTAAATGAGTACTATAAAACTGAAGAAATCGGAATAAGATCAGTGGTTTGTATCAATGTAAATTTCCTGGCTGCCATGGTATAGTTTTGCAAGATTATTATATTTGAGAAAACCTACTCTTGTACACAGTATCTTTCTCTATTATCTCCTACAAATATACATGAATCTATCTCAGTATTGAGCTGTATGGGAATTATCTCTAGACAAAACGTTTAATAAAAATACATACTGTAATTGGCAGAATACAGAGCATTTTTAGGGCACTGAAATCATTCTGTAGGATACTACAATGGTGGGCGCATGTCATTTTGTATTTTCCACAACCTATAGAATGTGCAGCACCAAGAGTGAACCCTAGTGTAACTATGACTTGGAGTGATAATGATGCATCAAGGTAGGGACATCGGTTATTACAACTACACCACTAAGGTGCAGGAGGATGATAATGAGAGAATTGTGCGTGTGGCGAGGATAGGGGAGGAAGGGTAGAGAGGTACTCTCTGTATTTCCTGCTCAGTTTATTTTGAACCTAAAGCTCCTCTAAAAAATACGTTC